AGAGAGAGGATTATCGCTTGTATAATACGCGTTGCCCATGTCTGTTCTCAACAAATGATTAGAGAGATTAGAAGATTATCTATGGTGGGTAGTTTAGAATCCAATTGATCACGGACCCTTTATCTGCATGGTAAACACCAAAGACATTGCATCAGTAGACACTAGAAAACTGCGAGTTGTGCAGTGTTTTCGTCCATTCTTAGTCGCTACTAATGTAATTAAATTTGTTTAAATGCAGGGGCGAAACTGACATGTTACTATTAATACGTATAGTTGATCATTCCTATAGAAAGCAGTATCATAGACAAATTAAAACTATTAAATAATTAGTATAATACAGCGTCTGGGAGCGATAAGTATATCCACTACATAAGTCTCACAATAAATTTTTCAATACCAAGTAGATCATACTACATCTGCTCATAGATAAGAATCAACTGGTAAATGAGATAATTGAGGTGAAGGGACGACATCAAAGGGAGAGGGAAATGAGCAGTAACACCGTAGGGATTTCCAAACTTTGTTTTCTTTCATCAACGAGCAGTTGGAGGCTCTAGCCAATGATACAGGTTTATTCATTAATAGCACAGTGTGTCTTTCCTTTGATCGTAACGTGGAAGATAAACCCAGAACTCTCATCTTAATTCAAGAAACCATCTGTACTGGGCACTTGATTGGTCTTTTCCATGGCCAATGGTGATCAACACCATGTCACTACTCACCTTGCACGAAGTACTGTGCCTATTTAATCTAAAATCTGGACTGACATACATAAGATCTTACACATGATCCTTAGATATGAGGATGACCACATTGAATACCGACAGCTAAACGAGCGTGCTGTGTGTAGAATAAAGCGACTGCGTGAGCAGTAGTTGGATTCTATATCTACTATACCACCTACAGATATAGTGGAGAGCACTGGATCGACTGAGTTCATGGTACTTATAGGAAAATACCTACATTAAAGCTAGCGAGCTAACCAATCAAGATGTACCAGACATAATTATAGGTCGACTATATCTAAATAGAGTAATGTTGTGTCATTTAAAACTATGAGTCGAGACATGTTGTACGAAAGAACTTGATATATTTCTATAGAGTGACTGATATTCGATAGTGACAATAGAACAATAACGCTATGTACCAGAGGATTTGATCTCTGAGATGGAGAGTAAGCGAATAGCTGAGTGCTTGTGAGGAAACTAAGCACGTTTTTCGCTCTTCATTTAAAAAAAATATCCAGACTTGGGATTGAAAGAGTTGGACATGGTTGGCAGAGGGGATATGGTGCTGAATCAGCTTCGAGATTAATAGCACCTGGTGATGAGAGGTGTCCCACCTTGTAATATTCACTCAGATGTACGAGCTGCAACTTATTCACGGGTATTATCTGTATTTGACACAGTTGTCATAGTTATGTCTACCATCTCGAGGATAACCAGGGTAACCTTGTCTGATTTGGACTCTACGTCACAGTTTTGCAGCGTTCATGACAAGACATTTTCAGTAGTACACGAGGCACGAAAGTCTTTTCTAGAGTGTAAATTCTTCGTCTCACACATATCTCAGCGAGTATCAAGTCACATTGAGCCATCAAATTCCTCAAGAGAAGAGTGATCTATAATATGAGTTGTCAGCAAAGCACTTCCATGCTTTGGGAAATTGATTACACTGTGTGTAAGTTTTGTGTGATTCTCGTGACCTTATATGTATGCTACTGAATGACTCCAAAACTGACGTTCTCCAGCTTTCAGTAACACGTTACTTCGTTACTACTAACAAGTGGAAACGCTGTCAGTTAAGCGTGTGAGTATAAAGTATATAAGCACTGAGTGTGCGACCCAATGGGTTGGTTTTAACGTAGATAGTAGTGAGAAAATACAAAAGGTGGTAAATGTATTTCAGGCATGCTACAGCAAGCTAATATTGACAAGTGCTCCTTAGGTATGTAATAGGTTACTAGTCCATTTAACCTTCCCTGGACAACAGCTACCTTCACGTCACTTGTCTTCATATGTCATTTTATTCGCGACAGTGAACGTGGAACACTAGAGGTGGTACTAGTTGATCACTGGTATCTATTTATGACCATCACATTACATATATAGAAGAAACACGTCTCATCCTTACATTCAATGGTATCATGCCATCTCCGTGCACAGGCCTAGAAGCAATATCACAATGTGCTGTCAAACATACATCTTCCTAGTGGGTAGCATGAAGAACATATAGATTCGCTATGCATACAGCATGGTATTCCCCCGTATCTCCATGACCTGAATACGCAATACTCACAACTGAAGTTGCTCTGTCAGCGGCGTGCATCTATCAGCTCGAGAAGGTCGAGATTTGAAGCCCCACACTCATACAATTGAACTCACACCCACTGAGTGTATTACATGTAAGTAGACATTAAACTAGATCAAGTAAGGACATAGTATAGGTAGTTACGCCATGAGAGAGGACTACGTAGATTAATCTTCATATCATTCAGCATCTGAACTCTATGGGCAGGAACTTAGATAATGGTTTTTGATGACTGTCAATTCAGCTGTACTTGGCAAGATCGAATAGATGAGAAGAGATATAGGCATCTATATGCTCTGCTTGCAACACTGAGTAGACATTCTCTCCCTAATAATAGCATGTGTACAGAAGAAATAGCATTTCTCTGTGCAATGAAATTCTTCCTTTGCTGTCCATACACAAATGCCAAGTAGGTAGGGTTGGAGGAACAAGATAAACAAGGATAACAATAAGACAAGATATTAGATATATAAAGATAAAAATAAGGATAAAAATAGTGAAAGTTAAATAAATAAGTACAAAAATAAGTAAGTGAAGACAAGTGAGGTATGCAGATGTAAATGGATGTACAAAGGAGCTCAATGTGCAAAATAAAGTTAGTGTGCAAAGTGTACTGATGTGCAAATTGCAGTTGAGGTAGGTCAGCTGTTGTTGAGTCGGGACAATTAAAATGGCATGATATAAATGCAGCCTAGCACCAAATACAGTAAAAAGGTCTTACATTTGGTAGGTCGA